AAATAAGAAAGAAAGAAAAAGGCACACCTCTTGAGCGCACCATCCACATTCCGGACCCAGCGCAAGGCACTTGGTGCAGGACGCTGCATTCGAAGATGTACATCTATTGTCTTCTGTAATGGAGGATAAAATGAGGTGTTACTCTCATACTGGGAAGTATATACAATTCTAGACCAAAATGTATTTTGAAAACTGAAACAAGCTGACCAATAGTTTAAAGTAAATATTAAAAATATATATAATTTCTTTAGGAAGAGGTAAGGTTAACTGCATTGTAATTAACAGATAGAACATTTCTTTTTTTTTTTTTTAAGATTTTATTTATTTATTTGACAGAGAGAAACACAGCGAGAGAGGGAACACAAGCAGGGGGAGTGGGAGAGGGAGAAGCGGGCGTCCCGCAGAGCAGGGAGCCCGATGCGGGACTCGATCCCAGGACCCCAGGATCATGACCTGAGCCGAAGGCAGACGCTTAACGACTGAGCCACCCAGGTGCCCCAACAGATAGAACATTTCTTAGATAGTTATTATTTGGTTTTATAAAGCTGGGAAAAAGGAGGGTGATAAAAATGTGATTTTAGTTAGGTTTGGGGTTTGGCTTGTATTCTACTACAAGAGTAAAAGACACTCCACATTTTTTAGTGTGCTGAAGTTTCACTGTATTTCATATTATCTGAACTAATAAGGCATTTTTAGATCTAGAATTTTTCCTGTAAAAATAGTCATATACAGACTTTAGTCTGAACATGTCAATCCATGTTGGGTCATAGTGAATGAATTTTCTGAAAAATGACCTTGATTTCTTGAGAAATGATGACATAATAGATTAATTCAGGAATTCGGTTGTCTCAATATTGATATTTTGGCTTGATGGGTATCAGAACTAAATATAACAGCATGGTTCAACATTTTAGACATAAAGTAGTTAAGATGGATGAATTGTTTTAGTTTACCCAATTTAAGATCACTTTAAGATCATGACCAGTTCACTTTCCCATAGATTCCCACACTTAGCTGTGACATAGTAACATAGTATATATGTTAATAACATAGCTGTGCCTGGAAACTCTTTACCTTTATCCGTAGCCACTGACTACTTATATCATTATGAAGAGACTCATCATTATGAACTTAAACACATAAAATACAATAAAGAGTCATAAATTATTTTATCTTGAGTTTTTAGTGGAATAATCACATACTTCCTACAGTCCATCCTTTACTATGAAATGTCACAAGGACACTAGAAATCACAGCATTCTATTCATCTCACTCACAGGCAAATAACAGGCATTCTAGCTGTAAGTATTTCACAGTCCAGGTAAGGAGATAACTATAGAAGCAAAGAATAAAATACAGTATGATAAGCACAACAAAAGAGACATCACCAAGGCACTATGGGAACATAGTGAGGGGCTTCTCACTCTGCTTTAGAGGGAAGGGCAGGGTTAGGTGAAGAGGGTGTGTTTAAGGATGATCCCTAGATGCAGTGAGATCTAGTATATCTCTTTGCCATTACATTTTGTTTCTTCTAATCTGTGTTTATCTTTTAAAAAATGTAATGAAAGAGGCATGAGAGAGGACTACGTGTGTGTGTGTGTGTGTGTGTGTGTGTGTGTGTGTGTGTGTGTAATCACACAGGGACATGGTAGCTTGAAAGGGGATCAAGCCCACAAAATCTCTAGCTGTCCCCATCCAATCAGTTTTTCTTTTTCTTCTCTGTCAACTTGCCCCAACATTCTAGAATACACAGTTAAAACAGCAGTGACCTGAAGGTGGCATGGGGTGGGCGTTGGCAGTGGGAAGAGAGAAAGAGGAACTATAAGAAAGACAGTAAGTATAGCAGAAAGGTACTAATTGGGGTGGTAGCGAGCGCTCTTCCCTGTATTTCCCCAGACAACCAAGTTAAGCCAAAACCATCCCTCCTTAACTCTTAATAGCTGTTCTATTATCTGCTCCCTGTGTCCCTTGCAGCCTTTGTCCTTTGCTTTATATCAACTTTTAATAAACATGATCCAAACTTCTTTACTGATTTGTCCAGACCTGGTCTAGACTTCCAAGGACTAAAAATAACTACTGTTTTGGGCTGCCTTTACTACTAGTGTGGCCACCTGACTATGAAGACTCCATAGCCTAAAATCCTTCTATTTGGCTTAGCCTGCCGAACTATAAAAGGTGCTTATTTCTAAAGTATTCAGAGGACAGAGTGACCTTTTTAGTTTTATTCTCAGAAAGAAATCAAGCACATTTGCAGACCTAACTTGGCCTTTACCAACTCTTAAACTTGACCTGACTGGAACGTGGAAGTAAGTCTATTTCAGTCCAGGCTTGACTAACTCTTTCACTCCATAGGTAGGATGTTGGCACTGGCAGTTAAGATTGTGCTCTCTTGGAAGGGAAGCTGCCGCTTCTATGACTGTGGTCTTTGTTTCTAATAGTTGTGTGACTATGTCCTAAGTTAACCCAGATTCAAGGTTAGGTCAGTCTCCTACTTCCAAGACACAAGTGGTAAATAATGAGTTTACAAGCAAAAATCTTTCTTTATAGTCTGCTTTCTGACTATTTGTTTTAAAAAAGTCCTACTGCCAACTTCTGTTCTCAGACTTCAGACACTTAAGAATGATGACCAAGAGGGGTAGAAACTTTGGTTGTGTTATTATGTCCCAGGTTCCAGGGTTGACATTTCTCAGTCTACATAATTATAGGAAAAATGATCCCATAAATGGATATGGAGGAGGCAGACCTTACGATTCTGCAGACCTGAGGAAGGCCATAAATTGAACTCCATGGGCATAGTGTCAAATGTTACTGCTGGAGAGTGTCATGGTTAGACTTCAGAAGACAAACCAGATACACTTTGGTAAGCAGAATTGTAAGAGTTTTTCTTTTTCATTTTAAACACACATTAGGTAAATACCTAACATGCAAATATCCCACCAATTAGAACAGTTCTTTACACTGAATGGTCATGCTACTATGGAGGCTATTAGTCAATATGTGGTGCTAAAGGGATGTGTGTGTCTTCCTGTCTGTCTGTCAGATCCTCCCATATAAATAGAAATCTTTATATTGAGCACGCATCAATCAATGCATGAGTGCTGTTTACCGACATGGGCAGTTTATCATCAGCCTCTAGGTCGACTCCGTTCATTGGCTGCATCCCTGACGCAACATCATAGGAGGCTGCTTCCCAGTGATGTTTTCCTAGCAGCCCTCAGCACTGACACCTCATTAGAGGGGGTGCCTGACTGTTTCTTCTTACCACTCTTAAGACAGTGGTAGCTACCTGTCCAGCTATTTGTTCAGTGGTATGGCATAGCACTATATTCTTAATTCTAGTTAGTTCTAGATTCTAGCATTGTGTTTTTATTAAGGATACTTTTTTTGTGGATCTTAAAGGAAATTACAAAAGACAATGGAGGCAGAATCATATTTTAAACCATATGTCTTCAGAACCCTCTTTTGTTCTCATTTCCTTTAGTCCTAACTGCCTCACTAATCCCATGTCATTAAAAAAATGTGCTACCAAGACAGAAATTAGTAAATGATTTAATGTCATGTAAGTGTGTACATTCTGAAAAATTCTATTCCTTGATCTATGAGCATGGGCTGAGATTCTTACTTTTACTCCTATTACAATTGGAGGTAACAGATACAATGAGGTAGCATTGCTAAATAGTTACTGGAAATAAAGTCCCAAATTTCCACAGCACTGTTACTTAAGAGCAATGTGTTCTTAGGCTAGTTACCTAAATTCTGAGGTTCTATTTCTTCCACTATAACATAGGGCTAACTATACCTATATCAAAATACTGATATGAGATGAAATGAGCAAGCATAAGCCTGCCAAGCACAGTACTTAGGATATGGTAGACACTCAGCAAAGGGACTAAATAACTTATTTATAATTAATATTATAATTTATGTGTGCATATATACACACATGTATATATACACATTGTGTGTATACATCTAGCTTCAAAAAAAGGGGGAGGTGTTTTGTGTCTTTAAATTTGTTGTAAATATAATTAGTTGTATTTAAGATGAAAGTCCCTTGGATCATAAACACAAAGTTTTAAAAATATAGCTAATATATAAAAATAACTATTAAATAAAAAGCTACTACTTTTATTTTGATTATTTAAAAATGACTTTTAAAAGCCAATTTATTCAAATATACACACATCAATCCAATCTGTTACAAGTACAATTTTGGCATGACTATAATTGATTACCGAAAATCTCTTATAACACCTTCATTTTGTTCACATTTTTCAATGTGTACCTTGACTTAATCTGAATATTTTTCTAATTATTTCCCAGAATTAAATGTTTCTGACGCATGTAAAATGACCTTTATAACAGTCTGTCATAAAGTATATCTATCATCAATAGGATAAAGTACACAAAAATCAGGAAACTACATATTTGTGACTGTCACTTAGATATTCTTTGTTTTAGATGATGCATTTATTCATATTATTTTGAGAATGTTTAATCTATAGAAGTAAGAAGAAAAAGAATATGGACCAAAAAAAAATAATAGTAACTAAAAAAGCCTGTTTTTCAACGTTTAGATTGGGATATTTCCATAAGTCAAGTGATCAGAGAAAGTGAAAGTTTTGAAAACATTTCTAATGTTTTTCTGCTCTGAAGTCTACACCATAAAATTTCAACAAAATTTAAAGGATGCCCAAACTTATCTGGAAGAAGGAACCATTAAAACTGATAAAGATTGTAGTCCCTAATATTCAGAATCAATCATTTTGGATTCTCCTGTTAGGACTAGACAGAATGATTGGTGAAGAATAGAGAAATGCATTTTGTTTCCAGAGTATCCTTTCCTTAACTGCATTTACTATACAAATTAAATTAAGCTTGGATAATTATATAAAGCCACTTCCTTAACAAAAAGATAAAAGTAAACACTGTTAAAATGAATACATATTCTACTTTGATAGCAGTCAAAACCAGGCAAATTGAGCACAAAGAATAAGTTTTAGAGTATAACTTTGGAGTTTCCTTGTTCTAGCTGTATATTGCAGCTATGTAATTGTTACAGATATCTTCAAAATACATTACCTGATTACTGAAAGCTCTCTTTTGCACAGAA